TTCTTCTTCTTTTCTTTCTCCACTGTTTATATCTGTTGCTGACACATACACACTCACGGACAATGCTTAAGCCCAAGAGTGGTGCTGAGTCAGTGTGGAAGAACGTGCTTCTCTTTACAAGGCATGTGGGTTCCTGTCCTCCTCCTTTGCACTTGTTTGACTCTAATTGACTTCAGGGATGCTCCTACAACACATTTTTCAATAAGGATGTTCTGATGGCACACAGTTTCCTTAAAGGAATGATAATACATAAATTTAAGAGAGTAAAAAGAAGGAAACCCACATCATTCTTTCACTTGTATTGTGAAACTCCATTATTCTATTACCATGACGTTCTAAAAAGTAGCTTCAGAAGTGTTCAGGTCTTTGTACAATGCAGACTGCTATGGTTTTAAATATTGCCGGGCAGAGTGTGGCGGATCCCTGCTTAGATTGCCAGTATACTGTGTTTGAGTTTAAAGTGTGGAACAGCTTCTGTCTTTGGTGAAGTTTAGGTTTTGGCTTTTCTGGGTCACTAGCACTCATTGAGCACATAGCGAACTCATCCATGCTGTTTTAGGCGTTATTGTACATGGCTTTGTAGTTGTGTCGGGAGGCAGACCTTGTTTCTGTCACACAGTTACCTATTAGAGAAGCTTCTGAGAACTTAGTGTGATTACTGCCACATTACTTAGTATCACTGTCATGGTTAGGGACAACTAGAGAGACACGAGTGAATTTCTATTCTTTTTATTTTATGCTGCAAATGTAGAGATCATATCAGTAAAACATTTTGAGATCCTTGTAAGAAATGTTGCCTACAACTGTGCAAGATTAATCATTGCAGCTGTTTTTTCCTTTTGTCTATTATATGTCATAATCTCATCAGAGAGGATTGGGGTCCTTTTGGTTATTTATTAGATGGGTCTAAGAAAAGTAGATAAAAGAACTATATAAGAATAATACCTTCTGGATTTTAACTTGGGCAGTTGAGTACACAGATACTGCTCACATTGAAGTTATTTTTATTGACTTACCAGTTAGTTATTTGCTGTCACCGCTGCCCTGGAGGAAAATGCCAGAAAGGTACCAATTCTTAATCCATAATTTATTGTATTCCATTTGGTCTTAAAATTTCATTCTGTCCTTGGATAAGAGCTTCAGACAGGCAAATGAGTTACAAGCATCCAAGTAAAAGAATATCCGTGGGTGATTGCTGGTGGCTACACCCTAGCCAAATCTTGCCACAGCTGGTAATCACATCTGGATAATGACCACTCATGGTTAAGTATTTCTCATACTGTGTAACATGGTGTTATTACCATTAATGAAAAATGTATGTATCATTCTAGATTCCCCCAAATTGACTTCAATTTAATGTAGTCAAATTAAATGCAGTTGATGTCTTCCCCCATTTCTGTCATATCAAAAAAGGGATGGGGAGCGTAGTAAAAAGATCACACAGTGAGGCATGCCAGGCTTAAAGTAGGTGCTCCAAAGAGCATCCTGATTCCATAGAAAGAACCTGAGAATAAAACTCATACATGACAAACACTTCCAGGTCCTTAACATCTACTGAAGTTAGGACTGCTCAAAGACTTGAGTTGATCTCTTCAGATGGTCTCTAAGAGGTGTAATCTTTAAGATCTACCTTGTATTTGCATTGGACTGTTATGGGAATAGCAGATGGTTAAAACGCCAGTAACATTTCTTGAGTACTTAATATTTGTCCAGCACTATACTAAGAACTTCAGATGTAATCCTCTCCACTTTACAGATGCAGAAACTGAGCCACAGAGAGGCATAAGTAACTGTTCAAGGTTACACAGCTAGAAATCTAGGATTCAGGGCCAGAGGCAGGATTCAAAGCCAGGCATTTTGAGTGAGAGCCTGTGCTCCATAAATGTCAGCACATTGCCCCATAGATGCCAAGACCAGAACTTGAGTTTCCATCCACCACCCCCTCCCTAACCCAGTATGAAAAATGACGTAGAAGAGTTTGCTATTTTCCTTTCAGGAACACTATGCAGTTTAAAAAAAAACAAAGTTGGCTTAGGTGAAAATGTACTATATATGTGTAAAATTATATGTCTGAATTTTTAAACTTAGCTTGAGACGATGCTTGTATTTAGCATATCATTACAAAGCCCTCATGGATACCTTTAATAATGACTACACAGTCTGCCTTGTGAATGTGTGTGTTCTGTTCTCTCACTTTGGGGTATTTGGCTTCTATGTTCTTTTTTATTTCTCTCCTTCCTCCTTCATTTTTAATAAGACTTTTCAAGCATCTTTTGTGTATAAAGCTTTCTTTGTTTGCCTTTAAAATTGCTTTTTTAATGGATAATATCCCAAGGATGAAATTGAATTAGTGTATATCATTTTGAATCAGTTGATAAATGTTTTTGCTAAATTGATTTTGCTAATGAATTATATACAACTTACACGTTATCATCAGTGTATGAGAGTACTCATTTTACCTAATCCTTATAAGCACTAAGTATTCTCCTAAAAAAAAATAATAAATTATCTTGCATTTGTAAAATTTTGCGTTTCTTCCACACATAGTCTACTTTACATATTCTGCACAGCTTTGATGCATTTTACTGTGAATTAGATAGAAGTGGACAATATTGTGAATGTACTAAATGCCACTGAATTGTTCATTTAAATGGTTAATTTTATGTTATGTGACTTTCTCCTCAATAAAAAATGTTTGTGTACATGTTGTGTGCACGTGCAAATGTGTCTGCGTCTGCCTTGAGTGTTAACTCTCTGGCAGGGAGAACTGCTGTGTCATGCTTAGGATGCGACACTTTTCTGCGTAATGCTCTGAGAGACTGAATTGAATGTGTAATGCATGTTGCTTTTCTTTCTGCCAGTTATTTTGTGCTTTAGTGACAAATTTGGGCATGTAATGGATTAAAAATGGTTTCTGAGTGATAATGTTTGACCCATCTTAAAGGCAGGGTATCCTGCTAGACGTAAACATGCAAGTTCTATGGCTGTCGGAGAAACTATCAAATGAGCAGTGCAGGAAACAGAGGGTAAAGATCAACTCAGTTGGGAAACGGTGGAAATTGACTGACATTGGTGAAAGGCATCGTAAACATCCCTGTATCCTGGGAAAGTGGCCAACAGTGGTGTGACTAGTAGCTAGAAAACCCTACAGCTAAAGTCTTACCATAAGTGGAAGAAAGACTGCTGGCCAGAGCACTCGGCTGGGAATGCGTGTATTCCAGACCTCGCTGGAGCCCTGGTCAACCTAGTGCTGCCCTCTTGGGATATGTCTTTCTGCCCCAGGCAGGGTTGCAGTATTTCCTCTTTTTAAAGTAGTCTGCTGATGTCCTGTATGTATTTCTGTATTGGGACTAAATGATTTTCGTATGATTTGTAGGAACTCTGTATTACATTAAGACTATTTTTTGTAAATTGGACTCCTGTTTGCTTTTGGAAATGTGGAGTGCTTGTGTTTAAATTTTTATAATTTATTAGTTTGTGTGTTGTCATGTCTGTTACTTCTTTTGGTCTTATATTACTAATCTCAGTCTTCCCCTGCCCAGTAATTGATAAATACATAATGTATTTTCTTCACTTAAAAAAAATTTGGGGGGGGACCTGTACTCTAAGGTGAAAGCTTGAATTGTTTCCATATTGGTGGTTTCCTTAGCTATTCATACAGGTGAACATTAGGTTAATTATATTAAGGTTCAGATTCAGTTTGGGTTTTGATTTGATTGTGATAAATTAAAAGTTAATTTGGGCATAATTGTCACTTTTGTGATATTCAATCTTACCATCCAAAGACCTTAACGTTTGTTTCTTTGTTTTTCCTTTTCACATAGGCTATACGTATTTTTTGTTAGAGGTTTTTATAAATATTTTGATTTCTTCTTTCTATTCTGAAAGTGTCTTTTCATTTATACTGATCATTATTAGTACCTACAGATAGTTAATGGCTTTTGTATATTTATCTGGCAGCTTGTCAATTCCTCAAACATATTCAGTATTAATAATTTTCAGCTGATTCTCTTGGGTCTTCTGTATATAATTACATGAATGCAAAAAAATTTTCCCCAATAATTACACTCCTTATTTGTTGCATTCATTTTTTCTTTTTACTAGGTGGACCTAGAAAAATATTAAACAAGTCTCTTATTTCTAGAGATAAGAAATAAATACTGAGTTTCATTAGTTTTTTTTTTTTTTTTTGCTTCTGTTAAGATAATCTTTGACTTCTTATGTAAATATGTTATTTTGATTTTCTCTTTTGGTTGGCCTGGCCCTAAGGATGATTAATATTACATTAAGGTTCATTTAACTCTACTATTGCCATTAGCAACAGGTCAGAGCTGCCTTCCAGTCCTTAAGGTAAAGCAGTCTCATTTCACTTCTGCATAATTTTAACCCTTAAAAGAAATGGAAGAAAATGCATTTCAGTTTTTTATTTTGGGTGTGTGTGTGGGGGGGGGTCTTTAATTTTAAACTATTTTTTCTTCATTCAGAATGCCCAGATGTAAAGTTGAAGTAGGCCTTTTTGTATATTTATAATATCACATTAAAAGTCTTTTATCTCTTCTGGGAGGAATTCAAAACCTGATTTTACACTGAGGAAACCAAAACGAAACAGTTTATTGAATTTCCAGTTTCTGAATTAAAAGCCACATTCTTCTCTGATGAAGAATCATAAACTTAAGAATATAATGTTGTCTATTTTCTCCCCTTTTGTACCTGGGGAGGGAAGGAGGATTGAATTTCCAATCAGTGTCTTTATCTTTCATGTAATAATAAAACAATAATAAAATAATAATAATAGCTGAATTTCTTGAAGCACTGAGTATGTGTCAGATACTAGCCTACACTTTGTGTATTAACTGACTTTTCATAATTGTGAGGAAGGGACTGTTACTATCCCCTTTTATAGAAGGAGAAACTGAACACAGACCAACTGAATTGCCTGAGGTTCATTGCTTACAAGAGGCAGAGCTGGGATTTAATTCCAGGCAGAGTATTCTGAGTCCTTTTGTTTTTTGAAAATAGTTTTATTAACACTACAGTGGTAAACAACTTTATGCTTGTTTCTTCGTAGATCACGGAGTCACACAAAATTCAAAACCCACAAAGAAGCTAAAAGTCTTTACATTAAATGTGTCCTTCCTAAAAATCCTTAACTGTATGTCAGTCTATCCTCAAGCAGTAAAATTTGAATATGCACCATTTTTTATTTAATATGTCACATTTACATAGCAAAATAATGAAGGCACAGCGAATACAAGCAAACTTAAACCCTTCTACTTCTGAGCTGGGGGTGGGGACACACTTGGATTGGTTCTTCAAGTATATATTTTTTCCAAACATTAGCTTCGTTGAAGAGTTCTGGTAATTTTCACAGCTACATTCTAAAAGCTACATGACAAAAGACTTCACAAGGATCAAACTACATAACACGGAATACACATGCTTTACAGAATTGGCTACATTCTACATCTTTTCAAGTAAATTAATATTTCTAGAATGCTAGGTAAAAGGATTTAATACTTAAACATTTTGGGTTTGTTTTTTTTACACCTTTGTAAATAGACACTACCAAGAAAACACATAAACATGAGACTGTAAATAACAAACACGTATGTTGACAATATTATACAGGTTATACACCCTCCTTCTCAGAACCATGTTGTTTCTCTAAATTCAAATATTCAGAACATTCTTTAGAATTTGAAGTGGCAGTTTTCCAGGCCTCATTAAGCAGTCCTGTCATGATCTCCATCACAGGCTTCCTCCATTCCTCACTCTTCTCTCAAGTGTAAAGCTGATGTCTGGGTTACAAAAGCAAAGTCTTAAGATGAGAGTCTTGGGTTCTGCTTTTCCTGCACTGGAAAATGTCCAGACTAAAGAAACTGAAGAATTAAACATTGAGAACATGTTCAGTCTTGGCCTGGGTGTTCCGTGTGTAGTGTGATGGCTGTGGGATGAATAGGTTTCAAAGTGACATTCTTTACTTCACATCTACTTGACACCCTTACTAAGCCCCAGTTGCAGTCCTCACAGAAGAGATCATGAAAAACTCATTTTAAATTTAACTCGTTTTCCTCAACACCTTTTGATATATTTATTGTTTCAAAATGAAAATCAAATTTGAAACGGGCTGGCCAGGATCTGATTGCTTCAATTTAATATTAGGAATGTCAGTATTGATTCGTTGTATTTTGGCCCCAAACCTGAGCCTTATTTTCAAGTCCACCAATATTCAAAAAAAAA